TGGCAGCAGCCAGGTCATGCTGCATCTTCAGGACATCTCCAGAGTTTCCCTGCAGCACGTGCAGTGCGGGGAGGTGGTGACCTGAGAAACGTGGTCTGATGTGACTTGGGTTTGAACGAGTGAGTGTTGAAGGACGCAAGGGAAAAGGATGTTTGGGTTAAATGGTAGCCGAGAAATAACAGTAATGGAGGTGACCATGGTGAACATCAGGGTAGCAGGGCAACAAGACAAAACTGCGGGAGCAGCAGAAAAGTCTCTGAGACCAAAAAAAGAGGGACTCCTCCCCGCAGTGTTGGTTCCCCACAGTGTGCCACAGCCTGGTTGTGAGAGGAGTTTTCCGAAGCAGAGAACACAGTGAGACAGTCAAGGACCGTCAGTTCAAAGAGGAATGCTTTGGAAAATGAAAATTGATCCTTAGCAAAGCCAGTGGAAAACTGTATGATCAGGGGAGGAAACAACATGACTGTGTCTGCAAGTAGCTGATCCTGATTCAAGCGGGAGGTTGGACTCAATCAGGGACCTCCCAAGGTCCCTTCCAACCTGAATTACCCTATAATTGTAAGTAACTATCCCCCTTCCAAAACAAGAAATAGCTTAAAAATATTGAATAAAAGAAGTGTTGGGCTGTCTTGTACCCAGGAACAGCTGATTGCAGCAGGAAGGTAGATACTTTTATAAGCAACACAGACTTTTTGTTCCTAAATTCTTGCCACTGAAATCTAGATGTTTTTCTAGTGCCTCCATTCTTACAGCTCTTTCTTTGTCAAGCCCTCTATTCGATGAAAGGGACGTGTTCAGTGTAGGTCTCTTGGTACAGCCTGTGGTGAAGGCTGCAGCTTTGCTGCAGGAGGCCCTGCTGGGCACGTCTTATGTCCAGGCAACCAACATCTCTGTGAAGTCTGTAGTTAAAAGACTTTGAAAACAGCAACCAAGAGAATGCAGTCAAAGGGGTCGTTGGGAAGGTTGACAACTTGGCAGAAGGGGTCAGAAGAAAAGTTTCTCCAGGTAAGCGGCAGGCACGCATGGTTGGGGAAAATGGTACAAATACATGGATAAGTATGGGAGTCAGTGGTGAGGAAAAAGGACGCAAGGGTGGGCTTAGGAAGCAGTGAACATCACACAGCATTAGTGCAGCCTGAGACGTTACAGCAGATCTCTAAAGCGGTTGATCACTGGGGTGCAGAGGTCTCATGAGGTATAGTTGGTCACCCACAGTCCTCAGCTGCTTTGGAAACCACTGCTCAGGTTCCTGAATGGCTTGTGCTTTGGGAAAATGGGACATGGTCTTAAGGACTGTGAGGAAGTCGAATCTGTGCAGTTGTGCACTGTCCTGGACTTCCCATATTGCAGAATGGTGTCAAAAAGAGACTACAGGCAGTCTAGCCTCAGTGCTGAACACGTGGCCTCTGTTGGTTCAGCCAACAATGCAGGTTTATCCAGGCCAGGCACAGGCCCATGATGTCGCTTGGGCTACTCAACCCTAATACAAGTACAAGACTTAGTGTTGGCCCAGATATCAGCCTGCACCATGTGGAAGAGAGTAAGTGGTACCTGATACTGCACCTGCAGGTATACTGTTAACCCTTTTGAATTTTAGAGGAAAATGGATCTCGCCATGTGAGGTGATACTGGATTGTCAGCTTGTTGTGTGAGTAACCATGGCATCTTCTTTTTCACTGAGCCCATGTGTGGGCAAACTGTGGCCTGAGCTCTTAAAGTTAGTCCAGTTTACTTTGATGAAGTGGTGCTAGATGAAGAGAAGATAACTCATCCGTGGATATTCAGAGAAAAAAGAGAGCTCCCAGTCTTACCTGGAGAGAGACAAGCACACATAACTCTAACCCTTGCACAGGAATGAACTATGGCTGGAATGGTAACCAATTCCTCTTCTTAAGCCCACTTTTTTCATGATAAGCATGTAGAAGCTTTCTAAGATGGCTTATGAAGAAAGGCATGTTGGTGAAGTGCTGTTATTTAAAATATCTGAGTCTTTATTTAATGGACTGTTACTGCTTTACAGAGGGAGCTGGAACAGCAGCTCTTCCTGGTTGCGGGTGGGTTTTTCTGTTTCTCACGGAGGGAGCAGGCGCTGAGCCCCTGAGGATGTCGCTTCCTACCTGGCTCATTCTGTGCAGCGGGTAGCGTGACCGCAGCGGATGTCACGCACAGACCGTGGTCCCTTCCTCTCATCCTGGGGTACCGGCTGCCTGTGGGAGGACCCAGCTGATGCTCCAGCAAATCCACCCCGAAGATGGGGGAATTTGCTCCTGCTGTACTTGATGGAAGGGTCGGACCTGCTGGTTGTGTGCCTGAAGCCCAGCCTGTCTGCCAGGCACTGCTGCTCACCACCCAGGCTCTCATTTGAGCATTGCCTCCTGCAAAGCTCCCTGGTGTGTTGCCCATTTCACTTGCTCCTGTCTTTCTAAAGCCTTGTGGCTCCAGGTTTGTGTCATGCTGTGATAGTAATCTTGCGTGGGTGGGAATGGGGCTTGCATGGTCCAGGATGCCCACTGAGCCTGTGCTTCCCATTGCTCCTGGTTTCCCATGCAGAGGAGTTCTTGGTTTTGATGTCGTTCTCTAGAGCATTGGTTTGCTTGGTCCTTGCCACAGACCTTGGTCTTGTTTAAGCAGGTCTTGTTTAAAAGTTCTTGCCTCGGGAGGTGGCACGAGCATTTCCTCATCCTCCCTGTTCGGTGGGAACCCCGCACCTTCTCTGCAGGAAGCTGTCGCGCAGCGCTGCTTTGCGCTAGGATCAGGGTGAATTAGTCTGATATATCTGTGCTTGGAGCCTCGGAATTTAACGAAGATGCAAAGGGCTGTTTGCATCTCCTGGTGCCCTCCCGCAGCAGGGACTCTTTCAGCATTCAGCAGTTTTTTCGTTAGATAATTTGCATTGATGCCTCGTGAAAACAGGGATGATTTATGTGCCTCGCAGAAGCTGGGAACCTGGGAACAGCTACCCGGGAGACGGGCAGTGTCCCACGTCCTTCCAGCATGGAGCGGAGCCTGAGAGGCCAGCGGACAGCCCACCCGCTCCACAGCCAGGACCCCAGCTGGATCTGGGTTTGCCCCATTGCACTGCATGGAGCTTGCTTGCAGAGACAGGTAATGGAAGAATTAAGGAGATCGGAATGAAAGCGGGCATGGGGAAGCACCAGAAGAAACGGCAGAAGAAGGGATAAAAGACTGGCATAGGTTGGTGGCACCTAAACCAGAAACAGCATCTTGCAAAATGCGTTCATTGCTCTGTCAGTGCTTCCTGTCCAACTTGCTCCTCTTTTGCTTCAGAGCAAGTTGCAGCACTTCATCTCCTCTAGACCTTACTGGCGGGTGTTAATGTAAACAAGTCATCTTGCTGCAGAGAAATAATGCCTTGTTCTTCAGTGAAGATCCCCTTTCTGGAAACAATTAAACTGATAACACGAGCTGCAACTCCCAGCATTACTCTTTGGTGCTGGTGGGTTGGATTCAGGCCCCTCTCCTGTTGCTCTGGTGCAAGGTTTATCCAGGAATAAAGCTCTGTAAAATCTGTGTCTCTAGAAGCATTTTGCAGGGTGGACAGTTTTTTTTTTCTTTTTTTTTTTTCTTTTTCTTTTTTGGTGGTTTATCTCCATTTCAGCATGCGAAGCTGCTTCGGTTACTTGATCTCTTGTGCCGCAGTCAGTGTCTAATCAATACAGTGCTGACATTAACTGATCG